AAGTCAATTAATGAATTAAATAAATGTATCAAAACAAACATCAACAAGAGCTTCGCAAAATACGCCGGAAGTTTCAGAGTGCAGGAGTACTACAAGTGAAGCAGCGCAGAAACGATTCTCATCGTTTAGTCCGAAAGGAGATAATTAACATTTACTGCATCAACAATTCATAAAAAAGGATCTTAGACTGCTCCAGCATAATTCGCGAAAAGAAATGTGACGTATGAAAAACGTAAGGAACTTACCGTTCACCGATCCCCATTTGGCCTTGGGCATTCAACCGGACTAGTTGGTTGTTCCCCAAACCATGGCAATGCGCAGTACCCATCGGAGTTGGCGCTGCCCGACCCATGGTATCCAAGCAATTCCCAGTGGCAGCGTTACGCAACTCGCCCACGTGCAAATTAGGCGGCAATTTCGGGTATTTCTCGTAAACATCATACGCCACGTTTTCCATAAACCACTTGAAAGGTTTGCAACCGAGGCGCTCCTTCAAAGCCAGCTGCTCGGTCAAGTCTCCGGCGTCCACAAACCGCGCCATCGGTTCGCGAGTGTAGAAATATTCCTTGTGTTCTTCATCAAACCAGACCTCGATCACACGTTTGTAGTTGGTCGTGATCAGAGGGCCCTTCTGCATCACAGGAAACAAGAATCGGAATGAAATTATTTATCCCACGAATGCACCACCCTAAACTACCAGCGGGTCTTAAAAATGAATCTGGCACGAATGAGGGTTCAAAGTTGGATTATGCCATGCAACACAAAAAGGATCATCTGCTCTAGGCCCAAATATATGGTTTCAACGCATCCCTGAAGAACTCTTTCGAAAATTATAGACGGTAAATTCCTCTGACGTCCTGCTTTTCCATAAATATTATTCTCCAAAAATTCCGTCATTTCATGACTTTTTCAAGTGATGTGCTTCCGCCCTCCTTTGAACGCGGTAGGAAGTTGAATATGGCCCCTTGTTTAAGACTGAAGTTCGTTCAATACCACAAAATCAGAAAAAAGTCCAAAAATCACCTTGGATTCCCCAAGTTTTCCAAAAGAATAAGGCATGAAGTTCCTGTAGACGTGTCCAACTCTGGAGCAAGGCACCCATTCAATGCTACCTCCACACTGCCACACCTTGAAGCTGAGTTCGAAGTTTTCACCACCCCAGACCAACAGTCCAGGATCATACCCGCCGAGTTTGAGAAAGAAATCTTTGTGAATGGCGAACAATCCTCCAGCATGTGTCGGGCTTTGAAATGGCTCCGAGACGTACTCGTGACGACGGGCTTCTTGTGTCGGCACGTCGGTTTCCTTGTACAACATGCCCCATTCGAAAATTCCCCGGCTCAAGCTCTTGCCTTGATACACTGGTCGGTACTCAAAAGTTTCGTGGTCGATCCCGTCGATGACTGGTACAGTCATCACCGTCGGATCTCGACGGATCGGTGCCAATAACGGCGGCAACCAGTTCGAGTTGACTTCACAATGCGCGTCCAAGAACAGCACAACCTGCACAACGAACCAATTAAAGCCCTGAATTTCGGGATCTCGACGTATACGAACACAGGTTCCCAAATACACAGTTCAACCTGGATAACTCGAACCTCCGAGTCGAATACCTCCTTATGTCGAATTTTTTTCAAGCCCTTGTCTGAATTTCCTTAGTAACCTCCCTATCTCAAAGGCTTTCCCTCTCAAACCTCGATATCTGTAATTTCCTGGAGGCCTTCTAGCTCTTTTGTTGACACAGGAAAGAGAAAAGCAATAAAATTATAACTTTATGTACTTTGAAAGGAAGTGAAAGATCGATTGGCCGAATAAACCCTTGCCTCCAAGTTTAGCTTCCTGTCATCTAATTTAAAATCAATATCAAGTCCAAGAATATAAAAAATTACTACAGTATATCCTCTAATTCATCTTTTCTCCCTAACTCGAATATTTTGCAGGCCCCTTGAGGTTCTACAGTCGCATATTCAGTCGTGCCTTCGCAGAACAGAAACAAAAAAGTCACGTTTCCCTCATCAAGATTGCCAACAAGACAAATTCCCTCACCTCTCCTCGCGCATATTCAGCGCCTTTTGACCTAGTCCTGATCAACCCTTCCCGTTTATCATTCCGTAACAACCGCACTTTCCCATTGAACCGAGCGATGTAATTCTCCAATGGGCCACCGAGCGCAGGCTTATCACTGAAATCATCCACCAACAACACTTCTTCCAGGAATTGCGGCGGACTTCGGCTGAGCACCGTGTGAACGGTTCTCAGTAATGTCGACCATCCTGTCGATTGAAAATGATAACAGTAATCAATTTCCGGCGCATGAAAAAATACCTTTCCAACGATACAAATATTTGATTGACACAGTACCGCCAATTGTCTTTATCGCCGAGATGAATTGATTGAACTCACATTGCTATGATTACATTCATAATGAAACTCAAAACGTATTAACCCTACACACCACGAAGTTCTACAGGGTAACGACAGGCTCATCAATTTCTGCACGACTGGTTCGAACCCACCTTCATTATGAAAGACGACGATGACGGATGCCTTCGGGAGATCTTCAGCGTAGTCCCAGTGTCGACACTCTGGATTTCTCGTGTCGGGAATGGTGCGCGTCATGGAAATGTCGTCGCTCACAGTCATCGTCATGCCGTATTCAGCCGCCGATTGCTGAGCCTCGTTCACCTAGCGATGATACACATTGGTCAGATAAAGCCCAGCATGTTTTCAGGTTCCGAGATTTTTTCTTGGAAAACAAAATTTTTCAATCTCCTTAATAAATGAATAATTTCCCGTTACAGCCGGAGTTCTCCACCCACGTCACAGGGTGCTAAAAATTTTTAGGCCACATAATAACATTCAAATCTTTTGTTATTTCAACCCTCATCTTTATATTCTTTATAGATGATGGTTGAACAACGAAGAAATTTCAATTATCAGCGGGCCTGACAGTTCGAGAATTTGTTTATTGCTTATTTTTTCACACGAAAGGAGGACATGCGGATGCGCTCACCTTCTCTGGAGAAGGGTAGTGGGGACGCCCGCCTTCCCCTGGCCCGTCGCCAACGGGTTCAGCTCCCGGCTCGAAATTTCCCAAGGCATCTTGACGAAACACGGGCTTCGGGGACGGCTTTGGAGCACCGGATGCGTGGGGACCAGAAGACCATCCCGAAGAAGACCGCGAGTTGCGAAACGACACCAGGACTACCGCGCACAACATGAGAGCAACTAGCGCGACCACGACGCGACCTGCCCGCACGCGCCGCAGGTTTATCCGCAGCCCGACTTTGCGGAGGATTTGGTTCATGGTCAGGCGTCTATTATTCGTAAGGGACAAGATAGGGTCAAAACAAGCTCAATTCAACCACACACGGGGCCCTAATTATTTTCCCAAACGTGGACGCAACCCTTTTCTTCGGTTTTCCGGGAGGCTTCCCTCCTTGCTTCGCAAAAATTTGTTCTTTGTAACAAAAAGAAGCAATATTTACGCAACTATGAAAAATTACAATAAGCCCCAGCGACAAACAGTTCCGAAAATCAAAATTTATCCATTTTCTACTTTTGATGTGCTGCATGACTATTTTCGTCGCACATACTTGTACGAGGGTTGCCATACTGGGACGTGACCTAGGTTATTTCTGGAATATGTATGATAGTAAAAAAATAATTGCAGTATGATAAACCCCATAATGTCCTGAGGTTCTAGAATATCAATTTACAGCATAAAGAGTGAAAATTGTCCAGTTATGGTCTGATTTCTGCACAGATGTAATGGGGTACTAAACATTTTTTGAAAGAAGCCAGAGATTGATGAACAATATAAAGAATTGCGAAAAATTGATGATACATGTTAGTGATCATTTACACTGCATGTGAGGTCTTGCCTTGAGTCGATTTAGCGAAGAGCCAACTTGTCGAAAGAAAACAATTCAGCGGATTGCATCCACGTTTCATCAAGGAATGAACAAATGCATAGAAACAAAGCTTCATGGATTGACTTCCTCACGACTAACACGCTTGAACAGGGCATGCACCAGTTAACATCAGATGGCTCAGCAACGGAGATGCTTGGGATTCTCAGTTGGAGTACATCTCGATTCGAGCGTCGCTGCCTCGTAGCAACAAACGCGGGGTCTCCAGACACAGCTGGAAGTAAGCAAGGAACTCCGCAGCATCAACTTCGCTGATGACACGCGCGTCGTACGATAAACTGCTCCTCATACGCTCCCGGAACTTGCCATCTGCACCTGTATCATAAACTTCCTCGTGGTACAAGGGTTCGACTGAATCAAAATATGCTCAGGATTTGAACAACTCACCCTACACAGCCATGTTACACCCCACAGCCAAAATAGCAGCCTGCGGCAGGTTTATGATAGCAGTAAATTCTGACACTCCAAAACCACCCAGATTTGAAACCCTGCAAAAATAAACGAATCCATGAGAATTCCGGAGATCGACTTTTTCAGCGTTTCATAATGCACACCTTTACGCAGAGTACCCTTCTTATACAGAAAAGGTGGAAGTTGCAAACCCCCATTTTGTTTAGCACCTCGTTAAAAAAAAAACTTTGAACGCTTCATAAATCATAATGTTGAAGCGTCAAAAATCAGGTTCAACGAAAAAAAAGCGGCAAAAAAAAAAACACATCGTGGAAAAATTTGCTCAAATGATGGCAAATTCGATAGTAAACATCATCATACGCTCAAAAATTGAACTTACGTGAAAGAACCACCCTGGAATTCTTCTGGCTTCAGCTTATTCTCCCTTGCTCGAGCAGCTAGATCCTTCACTTCAATACCGATCTGATGGACAGTTTTCCCTGATGCGTTGAACACTATCGGGGTGATGAGCCCAGCGTCAGTTGCGACGGCCACGGAGACGTCAACACTCGGATGCACGAACGCCTATGGGAATCAGGTAACACAAACAGAGAAGGCAAATAAAGATCTGCTCAAAAATATAGACATGGTAATATATCGTACATCAAGACAGTATACTGACTGGCAATTACACGACCTAACCAATTCCGGAAAAAATATGTTCCTCAGCATTTTGTTCTGGCTTTTTTGTTTTATTTTCTTCTAGGTAATATGCAACAAAGATTTGTCACCTCTTTGCTAGAAATAACTACCTCGTGAGCGAAGTTAGGTCAGATAAATTCCATCAACGAATCCCCGCATTGTTCTCGCGCATGAATTTCAGGACTTCATTCAGCATTATGTAAAATTAAAAAGAAAAATAGCGTTCCGGATTACGCGAGCTTATAATATCTCCCAGTCATACTCCTTGTTTCGAGCATTCCCGGTCTTGAGATCCTGTTGCATGTTCATTTCTTCCTACTTCGGCAAGATTTTTCAGAGGTGTGTCCAAATGAACGAAGTAACTATTCGTCATGAAAATATGAAATAACGATGAAAAATCAACTAATTTGAGCTTTGATTTGAGTCTGGATAACAATTTTCAACAATCGAGTTCTGAAAATGCAATTTTAAATTATTAAGGAATAACAATCAAAGTGAAGGACAGCTTCTAAAAAAAAAAAGGAAGTTTGCCATCCTGAGTGAGATTGTCCGATTTGCTTCATTTCCGTGCATGCGGGCGGGTTTCAGAGACGGGAAGAGATGAAGATGGCTCATGGTTCTCTCACCTGCTCATTCTTGACCAACACGTTGACGTTGGGGTAACGAACGAGACTCTCGG